GTGATACATATGAATGAGGGATATATATCTAGATATATATAGATCTATCTATCTATCTATCTATCTATCTATCAATCTATCTATCTATCTTCTATCTAATTTGTGGTGGTTTGAATGAAAATGTCATCCATAGGCTCCAAGTATTTGGACATTTTGTTCCCAGATGATGGCGCTGTTTTGGGAGGTTTTAGAAGGTGTGGCTATCCTGGAGGAAGCACATCACTGGGGGTTGGCTCAGAGAGTTCTTAAGCCTTGCCAGATCTCCAGTTGCTCTCTTGCTTCCTGTGTCTGAGTGATGATGTGAGAGCTTAGCTTCTGCTGCTCCTGATCCAGCAACCTCCAGCCACCATGCCTCTCTGCCATGATAGACTGTAATTCCCCTGGAACTGTAAGCTCAAATAAACTCTTCCTTCTATAAATTGCTTGGGTCAGTGTTTCTATCACAGCAAAAAATAAATAAACAAACAAAAATTTTAAAAAGTACTTGGATAAGTTTACTCTGTATATAATATTAAAAGCATATGTTACTAAGTTTTTACCAAAAGAGAGATAGCTAATGTCATATATATATATTGGTCTTTTTGAGACAGGTTCTCCCTGTAGCCCAACCTGTCCTGGAACTCACTATGTAGATTAGGCTGGCCTTGAACTCGCAGAGATCCACCTGCCTCTGCCTCCCGAGTGCTGGGTCTACAGGCGTGCGACACCACGCCTGGTTGTTGTCTTATAATTTTAAGATAATTGTTAACACTTGTGATATTAAGCTATTTAGGTATGAGACTTACTGCCTATCTGCCTTTGCTCTTCTCTTAAAAAAAAGAAAAAAAAAAGCACGAACAACCAAGTTTTCAAGGTTCTTCTTGTGTCCTATTTTAAACCAAAGGAAAAAAAAAAGGTCATTTTAAAACTGAGCTGTTGGCTGCTCACTCAGCGTAGAGCCTTAGCAATGATAGAGTTAGGTTCTGTGTCTTTGTGACCTAACGTCCTCTACTTCATTTGTATGAACAGTCCTGCGTTTGGAAGTACAGATTTTTAATTAGGGTCAGTGTGAAATTATGGTAGTGAAGGAACAGGCTCTGGAAGTTAGGATCAGTGAGAGACAAAGGTCTGCCTGCTAGGTGACAACCATGGCTGTGAAGAGGAAAGTGCCTATGTTGAAATCTTGTCATCCATCCATCCATCCATCATCCATCCATCCATCCATTTATGTATCATGTAGGCATCTGACATCGATCTAACTTTCTATTTATCACCTCTATGACCTATGTTCTATACATCCATCCATTCATCCATCCATCCATCATCCATCATCCATCCATTTATGTATCATGTAGGCATCTGACATCGATCTAACTTTCTATTTATCACCTCTATGACCTATGTTCTATACATCCATCCATTCATCCATCCATCCATCATCCATCATCCATCCATCCATCATCATCCATCCATCCATCCATCCAAATATATATGTGGAGTTTATAAAAAGTAGGTTTCTGTGTGACTTTAAACATCTTTAATATAATAATCTCTTCCTCTACCCCCTCCCCACTTAGCCCCCCCATTAGTCCCCTTTCCCCCTTAATATCACCTGTGTTCAGACTGCAGTGCAGAGAAGTGGCTGTGGTGTGCTCAGACATAAATGGGGCATCTATAGCATCCTCCCTCCCTCCCAAGAAAATCATAGAACAGAAGGCGGAAAGATTGTAAGGGCCAGAGGTCAGGGAAGACTGGGCCAAAATAGTGTCTTCTGGACAAGACAGGACCACTGCACTCACAAACTCACAGCAGCTGTGGCTGCCTGCACAGGATCAAGCCTGTCAACACTCCAGCAGTTTGCAGGAGGAGCACAAGAGATCCCACCCTAGCTGAGGAGCTATTGACAATTCACAGGTGTTAGGGGAGGGAGAGACAGTTTTCTTTAGGCGTGTGATCCTGGTAGGTTGATCATACTCAGTGCATGCCCCCGCAATGTGTATGTGAACAGCGCTAATTAGATCCAGTGGATTATAAAAAAAAAGGACATGAAATTGCAAGGGGAATGTGGGAGGAGTTGGATGGAGAAAGGGGCATGTATGAAATTTAATACATTGTATGTGTATACAAAACTTTAAAACTTTCAAAGAATAAATACAAATAAAAAAACAAAAAAAAAGGAAAGTTGAAGTTCTTTAAAAAATGATTAGCATATGAGGGGCTGGAGAGAAGACTCAGTGGTTAAGAACACTGACGGCTCTTGCAGAGGACCTGGGTTCGAGTCCCAGCACCCACATTGTGGCTAACAATTATCCGCAATTCCAGTTCCAGGGGAATCCAAGGCCTTCTTCTGACCTCCGAGGACACTGCACAACATGGGTGAACTTACATGCAAGCAGGCAATACACTCATACACATAAAATAAAAATAATAAATAAAATACTGAAAAATGATTAGCATATGAAAGACCAGTGGCAGAAGAAGACTATAACCATGTGCCCACTCCTATCCAAGAGCCACATGTAAGAGACAGAGTATGTGTGATGTACAAATGTGAGAGAATGTAGGAGTTATATGAAAGGCCCATAGAGGGTCACAACTCTGTGACCTGGAGCCATTGAGCTTCTGACCTTTCTTAGCTCTCTGCTGTACTTCCTTATTCGCAGTGCTATTTTTCTTTTCTCCTTTTTTTTTTTTTAAAAAAAGATTACTATTTTAAAAATTATGTCTATATGTATGCCTGTGTGTGAGTATGTGAATGTGAGTACAGGTCCCCATGGAGTCCAGAAGATGGCATTGCATCCCCTGGAGCTGGAGTTACAGGAGGTTCTGAGCCTCCTCATGTGGGTGCTGGGAGCTGAACTCAGGTCCTCTGCAAGAGCAACATGTACTCAACTCCTCAGCCATCTCTCCAGGCCCCATAAACAGTCTCTTAATAAATGGTCTCTGTTTCTATCTCCATCCCTGGTCCATTTCCTTGTTCCAGACACATGAACCTAGAAATCCTAGCTTATGCCTTCTGGCCTCTAGTACTCACCTTGAACACTTGAGAGGGCTTTTCACAGTGCAACTGCCACAGCCATCTGTGCTCCTGTAGTTAGCCCTAATGAATACTGGTTCAGCAAGCTAAATTCGAGTGAAATTGTTTCTTTGGTCTGTGATGACCCTCTCTATCTAGGGAGAGTGGAGATAGACACCCCCAGAAAAGCCAGGCAATAACACTTTCAACTAAACTTGATTAAAAGTTAGTTTAAAATACTATTATCTTTTAAAATTTTTAATGTTTCATTTTGTGTGTGTGTGTGTGTGTGTGTGTGTGTGTGTGTGTGTGTGTGTGTGTATGTGACAGTCGATGTAGCCCGGGCTGGCCTTGAATTTGTAGTCATACTCCTGCCTCAGTCTCCCAAGTGCTATGTTACTTATGCCCAGAAAACACCATAATCTTTAAACGAACTGCAAAATTAAATACTGATAAATTACTACTAATTATAAGATGGTGACCATTCTCTCAAATCCCACTTCTACTTCATTTGTCCTTAACCTTTTGTTGTTGTTGTTTAGCTTTGGAGATAGGGTGTTACCCTGTAGGCCAGGCTGATCTGGAATTTTCTATGTAACTCTGGCAGTCTGCTGTTGAATTCTTAGTGATCTTCCTACATCAGCCTCCCAAGAGCTGGGGTTATAGGCTTCAGCCGCCATGCCTGCATTCGTCACAAACTTTTGAAATGTTGATCTACTCCAGGGTTCTGATTCACAACTTCTGTTTTCTCTCAACCTGTCCACTCCTTCTAGGGAACCTCACATATGCAAAGTTCAAGTGGTAACCCACTTGCTGGTGATTCATGGGTTTATATTTCCAGCCCTCGTCTTACTCTGGAGTGAGAGTTTTGTTTTATGTCTGCCTATCGCTATTTCTATTGGTGATTGCAGATGTGGCACGTGCTCGCTCGTTCAGTAGTCCAAGGCTCCCTGTCTACCTTTTTCTAGCCCTAATACCATCACACCATAGCTGAACATTCCCGTCTTCATTTCCAAAAGTCACCAAATGATATTCATTTTATTATTACTGCCATGCACCTTGTCACACAGTACATAAAATTTGTTGAATTAATTAATGAATAATTAATGAACCAGTGAACATTTTTAGCTTTATGTGTTTCTTAGGTAGCCTATCAGGCAAACAGAATGATTAGTATCCTCATAAAACAGCATTCTTGGCCTATGGTGACTACAGCTAGCTCCTAAAGAACCAGGCCTTCCAGTATTCATACACTTCATTGTGCAAACCATTCCCACATTGAATGCGGTCTAAGGTTACTTATTAGCTCATGCCATGAATGCTATTGACCTCTTAAAACCTGGTTTTCCAAAAAGGTCACAGTGATCATAGTCATACTTTTTATTTATATTTTTATGTGCATGAGTGTATTGCCCGCATGCGAGTACACCCATGTCGTGCAATGCTGGTGGAGACCAGAAGAGGGCGTCGGATCCCCTGGAGCATGGTTGTTAGCTGCCATGTGGGTGCTGGGAACTAAACCTGGGTCCTCTGCCAAGAGTAGCCAGTGGTCTTAACCGCTGAGCCATCTCTCCAGCCCCTTCGGTCATTGTTATTGCATCCCCTTCACTCTGGGGCTCAGGCATGACTGCTAGTTAATAGTCTGGATGGAAGAACTAGTGATAACAACCACAGACACAACTATCAGTGTAGGGCAACCCCAGATCACGACCTCATAGTCCTCCGGCAGCCCTGCAGCGTCTTTTTGGGGCAGTAGTGGTTTAGAAACGACAGCAGGTACTTTGCCGGGATCATTGTTTAGAATACCCACCTCAGCTGTGGGAAGTACCATGGAAATAAGTGGGAGGTAGTTCCGGGAAAGCGGCTCAGTCTAGGGCTACCCTCCTCTGGCCACACGGGGGCGCCAGGACGCCGCGTTCCCAGGGCCGCTCTGGGCGTGGGCGGGGACTGCTCCGCATGGGCGGGGCAAGGACTCGGGGCGGTGGGGGGGCAGGAAGTGAGGGGCCGGGGCTTCTGGAGGGCGTGCGCCTGCGTGGAGTCGACCTCTGGAGTCCCACTCTGACCCCGCGTGTCAGTTCTCCCGGTGACCGCTCTGCGTTCTCGAGTTGGGCGAGGGCGCGGGCTGGGCTGGGGGCCGCGGGCCGGCGAGGGGGCGGGCGCGGCTAGGGCGGGCGGGAGCTGCAGGCGGACGGGCCGGGCGGCGGGCGTCCCTCCCTGCCGGGTGTTCGGAACGGTTTCCTGCCGGTGGCCGCCGCTCTGCTTCCTCCTGGCCTCGGCGCAGCAGATGGCTGCTCCTCGCCAGCCCTTCCCAAGAGCCGAGAAAAAGCTCTCGTGCCCACCGTGGGCAGGACCCCCAGGACATTTACAGCCGCCAGGATCCGGGGGTTGCTGATCGGTTCAAACACTTGTCTACAGGAATCACTTTCTATATGTACTGTTTACACGCCACCATCAGTGTAGCAGTGTTACCGTGCCGGGCGCACCCGCAGCAGAAACGTCAGTCCAGGGACCTGAAAGTCCCTCATTTGGAATTCAGGAGTTCAGCAACTCCAGTGACGGTCATCAAGGCCTTGGAGCCTCGCTAAAAGAATTTAGCTGGCGTTTGCAGCCAGGGTGCAGGGGTGCAGTGTTACATTTTGGAAGCTTAAGAGCCAAGTCTGCTAACTTCCAATTTTTTTTTTTTAAAAGCTGTCCATCATGTGTACTTAGTTTGAATGATTATTTTAAAGTGCATGTCCTATTTTTGCCCATCTGACAGCTGTTTCCATAGAAACTGGAGACGAAATAGTCATTTTCAGCAAGAGTTGTTAAAACTTGTCTTCCAGGCTTAGCTGTGCGCGCCAGTGAGTGCTGTCCTTGTTCATTCTGAGATGGCACTTGAAGAATTAAGGGTCTGAAATGTTCTTAGAGGCTAACAATCCAAATTGTTTAATTTTCTCACATCATTAATTTCGCAATCCCAGAAGTCTGCCAGCACTGTTTGCTGGCCTGCTGCAGTTCTTTGAAGCGGATGCGCCAGCCCTGAATCTTTGGTGTTGTGTAGTGTAGTGACTGGATCTTTGAAAATGTATAAATTGATATCTTCCCCGGTTTTTTAAAACCCCATTTTAAGGATAAATCAAGGATTAGAGGTTGCCAGCTACTGTTTTATTCTCGATGCTACTTGATTGTCAGTGATATAAATGATAACGATTTTAATTACGTACTGTGTGTGGCATTTGTTTCTACCTTCTGTCAGAATACTTCAAAAAATTTCACACTGTTCCGAGATGAGCAGTTTTCTTGTCATGAGCAGAGCTTAGCTAGTGAAGAGTGTGGGGCCCACGGATGAGAGCTTTTTTTTCTGAGGGGTGACTTAGCAATGGGTGAAGGGTAAGGTTGGCTGAGGGGGAAGCAGCATTATGTGCAAATTGAAGTTTACAGAAAATCAGTGGAAGTTACAGAAACAGTTGCTTGGGGTTTACAAAAGTAATATTCCTTTCACAAAAAGATGGATGACAGAAGTACAAAATCCCTCAAAACCACATGCTTCCACCCAAAATAATAAGTAGGTTGTGTATTTTTCTTGAGACTTATCTTGTAAACATCAGCATACTTTATCTTTATTAGTTTTACAAATTGAGAGGGGATTTTTTTTTCTCTGCCTTATATCTACCGTAGAGAATGGTGTCTTCACATAATAGTACACACTTATTAAATAATGAACAGAATAATCCAGAGGTCAAAAACTGAATGAAATAACTCACTATTTGGTCAAGAGAGCCAAATTTTATAACTTGGTTGCCACTGTTTCACATTAAATTGGAATTTGTGGCTTTAAAGTTTTGAAACATTTGGACATAAGGGGTAAGATTCTGTTATTCTTGTTGCACATGGCTTAAATACCTATGACCGTTCACATTAGTTTGGCATTGCTGAGTTTTGTCTGCATTGACCCTGCAAACCTATACCGCTCAGTATCGTCGCCACTGGTCACATAAACCTTGCTAACGTAATAAAAATGAAACATTAAGTTTCTCTGATGCACCAGTTCAGTAGGCACATGCAAGGGCTACCGTATTGGACAGCGCAGCAAACAGTGCTGCAGAATTTCTGTTTTGCAGTGTTGCTTTTGACCTTTGAGTTTTTCTCTCCTATCCTGTTATTTAGAAAGTTTTCTTTTTGTTTGTTTTGAGTATCTTGAACTCTGTCTCCCAAGTGCTGGCAATACAGGCCTTCACTGCAGGCCTGCAGTCCGCTTCAGAGTTCCTGCAAGTAGCACTTTCTGCTGCTGTTTTTAAATTAGCACATCTCTTTGTTGTGGCACAAAACTCTGCATTTTAATCTAATGCATAGTCTTAAGTAGTGTGGGACTTCATGTGAATCCTGGGGTTAGATTCTCTTGTCTGATTTGCATTTCTCAAAGATTGCTTTCGCTTTTTAAGGGACAAACTGGAGGAAGAGGTGTTGGTTAAGTAAAGCAGGGCAGTTAGAGTTTTGGAACTGAATCAGTGTAGAAAGTTGGGAAGTTTGTTCAGGAACCCTCAGATTGTTCAGTACCATGCATAGTATTGAAATGTGGTTAATTTGCATATAAACTTGGGCAACTGCTTCATACCATGAAAATGCCTTTGAGATCATTCATTTGCAACATACAGAAAGTCAAAGAGAAGGTATTGCTTTAGAGAGTTTATAAAGGTCAGTTAGATGTGGAAATGTCTAGGAAGCCCAAAGGCTTTTAGTCCTTCATTCATATTCATAATCTCTGTCTCTGTCTCTCAAACACACACACACACACACCTTTCCACTGTATATTCCGTTGTCCTTTCTGTGCTTACACTTCGCAGAGCTATTTATGTACAGGTCTTGTGCCTTTGTTTTGCTGTAGCACCGACTATAGACCCTTTCACCCGTCTTTACATTCCCATGTCAGATGCTGCTTTGTGTAAATTGTTTTCTGTGTTAGAGATCTGCTAGTTCTGTGGCCTTTAGGGACCAACAGGGCCTGTCGGCCCATTCACCAAATTGAAGCCTTCAGTGATGGGGCAAGTATCAAAGCCTCAGAAAATGATTAGCTGGGACGGAAAGAAAATGGCTTTGTATTGTTTTTGTAGTTTGATAATCTAGTAAATGAGCTTAGAATATACTTTTCCATTTGAAATAATTTTGACTTTTTTTTTCCATTTGTCCAGATGGCATAAGGATGATGGTTGCCTTCCGTAACTATCCCATTGCTCTGGAATAGCTCATCCTCTGGAGTTTTGTTTTTCAGAGTATGCAATACTCAGTGAGGAATTTCATATTATTTACCCCTAATAATCTTAAGTTCAGTTTTGGTTCCTTAAATAGACTACAACCTCCATAAGGACAAGGACTGTATTTCATGCTGTGCCTGTGACTTTCATATCACTCAGCCAAAGAAGAACCTTCCTAGATGCTCAAATATATGAGAATGGTCCCGTAAGACAACAGCAGAGTCAGAAATTCCTGTTGCCTGGTGACAGTTTGTCTGTTGTAATGTCGCCCAAGGAATTACCTGCCTGTTTGTTGCAGTGCTAGTGTAAGCAAACTTGCATTGCCTGTGGCATAAAAATATAGGACCTATACTTTATGTATTGTACACAATCTTGATAATGGTAACAACATGCTTCCTATTGTTATTTTAGACTGTAGTCCTACTTTTTAAAAAAATACTAATTTTATGTGTATGAGTGCATATTGCCTGCATGTAGGTAAGTGCACCCATGTCATGCAATGCCTGTGGAGGACTGTAGAGGCCATCAGATCCCTTGGAATTGGAGTTACGGACAGTTGTTAGCTGCCACATGGGTGCTGGGATTCAAACCTGGGTCTTCTGCAAGAACAACCAGTGTTCTTGACGGCTGAGCCATCTCTCTAGCCCCAGTCCTTCTACTTTTAAAGCTTGCTATAAGAAAGGATGCCCCATTAGAGCAGCAGCCTCACATTTCCCTTTTACTTCATTTCTTGATTGCATCAAGTGCATGTGGATTAACCCAAGCCATCTAAGTACTCTGTAAATACTCTGCTGTTTGTATAACAACACCACCTAACAATGCATTTCTCAGGATGCATTTCTGTTATTAAGCAACACAGGACTACAGGTTTTGAATTGATTTTCAGGCTTCATTATTATTATTGTTTTTTTTGTTTTTTTGTTTTTTGTTTTGAAATAAGGACTCCCTGTAGCTCCATCTGTCCTGGCCTGGAACTCTCTAGACCAGGCTGACCTCAAGCTCATAGCACCGCATAGAGATCTGCCTGCCTCTCTGCCTTCTGAGTGCTGGGATTAAAGGTGTGCACCACCATGCCCAGCTGCTGCTGCTGCTGCTCCTCCTCCTCCTCGTTGTTGTTGTTGTTATTATTATTATTATTATTGTTATTACTACCACTTTTCATCTTGGTTCTAAACAGAAGCTAGAAAACATCTTTCTAACTGCAAACTTTTATAGATAGTAACTCAAAGAAGGTTAACATGGCGTAGCTGCAGCTCTCTGCTGCTGCCTTGTCTCTTTAAGCGGCAGGTGCACGATCTAAGTTTTTTTTTTTTTTCTTGTGTGTGTTTCACTGAACTTCGTAGGTTTATGGGTTTATCTTTTCATTGAATTTGGGCAGGTTTTGGCCATTGCGTCTTCAGACATTTTTTTCCCCCTCTTAACCGCCCCTCCCTGCTTTTGAGGATTCCAGCTATAAGGGCATTCAGCCACTCCGTCCCCACCTCACCTGTGCCTCACCTGTGCTCTGTGCATTTCTCACCATCCCATTTTTGCTATGATATGTCCTTAACGCCACGAGCCTTTATTTCTCCAGTGCTCACTTTAACTGTAACTATCACCCAAAGTAGTTTTTATCTTCCATTTTTGTGGTTTTCTTACTTTGAAGTCAAATTTAAACTTAAAAAAAAAATTCATGTCTATAAAACATGCTGAATTTTTCCTCTAGCCTCTTTCACACATGGAATGTACTGATAATAACTGCTTGAATATTCTTAGCTACTAATACTGCATTTTTATTATTTAAAAGTTATTTTCTTTTGATATCTCCTAGTTATGTGTTTCTTGCTTCTTGTATTTCTGGTAATTAAATTTTTAAAATTTTATTTTTATTTTATGTATATGAGTGTACACCTCTGCTGTGCAATGCCTGCAGAGGCCAGAAGAAGGCATCAGATCCCCCTGGAACTAGAGTTATAGACAGTTGTTAGCTACCATATGGCTAACAGAGAACCCAGCTGGGGTACTCTGCAAGAGCAGCTAGTGCTCTTAACTGCTGACATCTCTCTCCAATCCCCCTGTTGATTTTATTTTATTAAATTTTTTTATT